TGAGCCACAGGCCTAGCCCTGTTTTGTATTTCATTTAGAGACAGGGTCTCACTGAGTTGTTTAGGACCTCACTATTGCTAAGGCTGGCTTAGAACTTGCGATTCTCCTGTCTCATCCTTCCAAAAATTTCTTAAGTTATATGATTTCTGAGAAAGAAAAAAGAAACAGTAGGCCTGGGATATAGCTCAGTGGTGGAGAGCTTGCCATCCACAGTACTGCAATGAAAGAAAATAAAATCATCTGAGTCTTTGTCCTACATGTGGCAATTTGGAGTGTGAATTATCAAATACAATGAAGTTCTGCCCCAGTGATAATTGTTAAGGCAGCCAATAAAGCATCATTTATCGTTTGAAAGCATACCACGACACAAAGTAAAACCCATTTTAAGATTGACCCAAATATATGCTGAGAATCTTGGGGAACTCTGGATAAAAGTGAAATGTTCCCCAAAGTGTTTATGAATAAGGAAGTGAAACCAGGCATGAAGAACAAAAGCAGAAGAATGGATCAAATTTGAATTCCTGAATTCTTGTTTTGCTCTGGGATTATTTTAATTAAGGTCAGAGACCACCTATTGCTGTCTCCTTTCTAGAAAATAAAATGTGCTTGGGAGAAAAATGTAGTCAGGTTGGAAAGTTCCCACATATATGAGAATGCTCCAGCATGTATTTCTTGGAATTTTCTTTTTACCTTCTTCAGAGAGAAGGGAAATACTGTGGGGCCAGTACAGTTGCTGATATCCCAGTGTTATTGGCAGAGATTATGTTTAGTATCTTTCAACTTATGGCCTTAAAACTCTTTCTAGACAGAAAATAGCTGGGTTCTGGTCTGTGAAGGCTTTGAGCTGCCTGAGGATGATGCAGAACAAAAAGGACACAGAGGCACATGTGGATCAGCAATCTGGGGCTTACTAGGTGTGCAGTGCCAGCATCTGACCCTATTTTTAGGAATTTCAGCTTTCTAACTATTGTTCTGTTTGACAGACATCTCTGTGTATTCCTTTGATGTGAATTAAGTCTAAAATGAAAAAAAAAAGTTTATTCTTCATGTATTATGTGAAAGGCTATGCTACTACTATGGTCCCATGCTTCACTGTTCCAAAGGTGGCCAGCACCTTATCTTTCAAAGCCACAAGCAGCTCACCAGGCCTTGAGAGGCATTAAGGGCAGTGAAAATGATAAGTGTGTTCACCCACCCAGGACACTAGAAAAGATTCCTTATCCAGAATTCTACTTTAGTTGGCCCAAAACAAGCTTGCTGAGGTAAAGGCTCTCTCACTGAGGATGTTAGTCCTGGAAGGCTTCTCCTTGGATGAGCTGTAAGTTCAACCTTCTGAACCGGGCTCACATCCCAGGGATAGGTCAAAAAGCTGATGATTGTGCCTGACACCTTGCTCCCAATCCCTGTTCTGTGGATGTAATCTTGCAGGGTGAGGGGAAAATCATAATTAACAACCAGTTCCACATGGGTGCTGTCTAGGCCTCAGGAGGCTGTTTGTGCAAAGCAGTATGTCTTGGGAGCACTTTTAGAGGCATTATAAGATACCTGTTCTCACTGAGGCTGGCTTTTGCCCCTGAAGCCTTAGGTGTTTGATTTTGTGGTCATCCAGAATATATTCCCACCCGATTTCCAGTGAAGGAGGCCAGAGACCCCCACACTGAAGACCCTTGCCATAATTAAGCTTCTCCTCTGGTCAGAAAGATTTTTACAAAGAGTATCAGCAGGCAGGATGTCTGCAAAAGGCATTGTGGTTTGAAACTTACTCTTTCTTGTAAATGCCAGGATTGCACACACAAGGTATGAGTAGAGTCTGGAAGCTCATTATACAAAAAGATATTATCTCTGTTTTCTTGGTTTTAAAAAAAAAAAAAACAACCTTGTGAAATCTGTGTCTCACGTTGGGGATGGAACACAGAGCACTTGTCAGCACTAACTGAGCTTTGGGGTTGAAAGGGTCTTGTAAGAAAGCTGGGCCTTGGGCTATATAACTCTTTTCCAAGATGTAGTTCACCAAGATGTTTCTGCCTCATCCAACAGCATGAAGGAGAGTTGCTCCACGGTGATCAGTTGACTCTTCAGGGCCTTCCATAGAGCCCCCGGAGCAGCAACTAGCCTATATGTGCTGAAGGTTGTTTGGACAGTTGCAGCCTGATTCTACGCATGCCATGACCTCCTCCTAGTTCTTGTACCCGCAGGCCCAAGGAGCGGCCTAGCGATTGGGCCACAGCCTGCACCTGTTCTGCTAATTCTCGGGAAGGCACAAGGACCAGACCCCGAGGAGCAAGTATGCGGTGGGTTTCCAGAGCTGGACGATCAACAAGCCTTTGCAACAGAGGAAGTAAATAGCTCAGAGTGTTGCCACTGCCGGTTTCTGCAGCGCAAAGGAGGTGGTGGCTGTGAAGCAGTGGGGGTCTGGTGCGTGACTGCACGGTGGTGGGCCGAACGACTTCGGGATCGCGAGCAGCATCGTGCAGTGCGCGCAGCAACCCGGGCTCCAGACCCAGGTCCGCGAAGCTGCCGTCGGAGGCAGGCCCCGCAGCGCTGGCGCCTCCATGCTCCCAGTCACGCGAGGCGAGCACTCTCAACGGTCCAGCGTGAGGCGCGCTGGCTGGTTTAACTAAGGCCGCTGGGCAATCCACGCACGCTCTGTCGTTGTTCCTGCCGCCGCGGTAGAGCTCGCGGAATGAGCACCACTGGGAAGGGATCGTCGAGGGCGCCTACAGCAACTGAGCGACGACCAACCACAGCAACGTCGGGCGAGCGACAGTCACGTTGCCCTTGTTGTTGGAGAGGCGCACGTCAGTGACGTCACGCATGCGCCGCTTCCTAGCGTACGGCGGCTGGCTCGGCTCAGTAAGGTGCGGAGCTGGAGACGCGTCAGGAAGTGGGGAGGATTCCCTACGTTTCAGTGACTGCTAGGTCTGTAGATCAGCACCGGGATGGCGACATCCAGATCTAGACCGCCTTTGGATGGGGAGCGCTGTGGAGGCAGGAGCATGGGCCTGCAATACCCGGTGTCAGTGGGGCCCTGGTCCTATGGACCTAGTGGGCTGGTGTCTTCTGGAGATCGGGTCCTCATTCTTTGAGGTTCTCGTTTGTCGTCCTCATTGCCCTTGTTGATGGCTTGTTTAGTGCCAGGCTCCCCTTGTAAATTCCTTGGGTGAGGGATGCGGTGACGTTTCCAGATATGCGGAAAGACTGGTAATACGTGTTTTCCCAGCGTCTGAATGAATGGTAGGCCTGGGGACTGAGACAAGGGTGTGGAATTATAAATCTAAGCTCAATTCCCGCTCCACTCTGGCTCAGAACTCGCAGTACAAGGTGGTGTCCTTAAGCTTATTTTTTTCTCTGAAGTGGGAGGTAAGTTGATAAGGCTTTCTTTTTAGTGGTGACATCTCTTCTTCACATTAAAAAAATTTATTTTTAAAGTCAAATTTCTCTTTCTGTTTCCTTGTTACCTTTCCATATTTCCCATCCCGAATACACCACTCTCACAGCCAACTCACCTTCTATCTCAGGTATGGTAATTTCACAGATAGTAATAGAAAAGATCCAGAAGTCCTCAGCTTTGTTATGTGACTTATTTCACATAGGCCTGGTCAGTAAGAATATTTGACTGAAATTCAGGTATTCAAGTTGTAAAAGAGAGTTACACTAATCATACTTCCTGAAAAGTTGTCTCTTGATTGTAGACCCTTCCTATCCTCAGATTGCGAATCTGTAGATTCAATCAAGTGTGGATTGGAAATATGCAGGAGAAAAATGTATCTGGGACTAGTGGAATATCTCAGATGGTAGAGCTCTTGCAAGGTAGGAGTGAGGCACTGGGTTCAGTCTCCAGCAGGACACACACACACACACACACACACACAGAAAAAAAATAAAGAAAAAAGGAAATTTGTATTGAATATTAAGAGACCTTTTGTTTTGGTGGGAAAGTCTTGAACCAAGAACCTCAAAACATGCTAGGCAAGCTCTCATAATGCCTTTATCCTCAGCCCTTTAACAGTGTCTTACTAGGTTGCCTAGGGTGGCCTTGCACTTGCAATCCTTCTATTTCACCCTCCCAAGTAGCTGGGATGATAGGTGTGTGCCTCCAGCACAGCTTCTATGCTACTTTTATGATTCTTTCTAAAAACGAAGAGCTCATTGGAAGTCTGACCTGACAATTTTCCTCCATTTCAATGTGCTCTTGCACCAAGCCAGAACAGATAACAGTTGCTGACTCAAATAACAAAAAAGGGGCTAAGGGTGTTGCCCAGTGGTTAAGTGTTATGGGTTCAACCCTGAGCACAAAAATAAATAAATAAGGGGCTAGGGTGGTGGCTCAGTGAAAGAGTGCTCGCCTAGCATATATGAGGCACTGGGTTCGATCCTAGGCATCACATAAAAACAAACTAATGTATCCACCTAAAAGTAAAGATACATAAATAAATAAATAAGGAAATAAATAAATAAAATTGCAGCCCACCAGGACTGGTAGCACACATTTGCAGTCCTTGGTACTTGGGGGGTTAAGGCAGAAGAATCTTTGAGTCAGGAGTTGGAGACCAGCCTGGGCCATATAATGAATGAGACCCTGTGTTAAAACAAAATAAAGAAACAAACTAAAAAAGTAAAACTAAGATTGCTGCATTTTAAGAAAGGCAAAGTTTGCAGTTCATCACCTGCTCTTTTCTCTTACAGATCCCTACCAGTTTTTCAATCTGCTGCTTAATGACTTTTGCCTGTGTTCCTCCAGTAGCATGAAAGCTGTGCTGAGCAGGAATTTTTGTCTGTTTTGTGTTCTGATGTATTCCAAGAGACTAGGACAGTGCTGGGCAGAGATTAAGTACTTAATGAATAGTGGTTCGATGAATGACTGAACATGCATGTTTTATAAGATCAGACAAAAGGAACGCAAATGACTGTGGGTTGGAAGGAAAAAGGAAAACCTGTCCTTGCTAAAAGAAGGGACTGTTTCCACTTGAATTTCTGACCCTTATTTTCCTGTTCTTCAGGTGAAACAGAGGAGGAATGATTGTGAATAGTGTCTCTCTGTGCTACCACAACAAACTCATCTTAGCCCCTATGGTTCGGGTTGGCACTCTCCCAATGCGGCTGCTGGCCCTGGATTATGGAGCTGACATTGTTTACTGTGAGGTAAGTGCTCCTGGTTTTCTGGGAGGGCTTTCCCACAAGTGCAGCCTCCTCATTTGGATGTGGGAGTGGTCAGGAGTGGGGGAGGCAGGATGGGAACTCCCCACACAGGTGTTTGTTGAAGGTGGGAGGGGAGCAACAGGCAGGCACTGATGAGTTCTGTGGGCCCTGCTGAGGGCCAGCATCCTGGGCAGCACAGAGGCGTTAGGGTTGCTGAGATGAGTAGATGAGCATCAAGTTGGGGAAGTGCCGTGGCCCCTGTAGGAGCTAACATACATTCAGAACATCAGTAAATGGACTCAGAGGTTAGGAAGAAGAGGAAAAGGACCAGAATCAGGCTAATGAAGCTGGATGAGGTTGGTTTTGGGTTGCCATAGGATTTTCTGGTGGTGATAGCTGGTAGGCCAGTAGATATACTTGCTGACTGCTCTGGAGAAAAGTAGGCTTTAGACCCAGGTTTAAAAAGATCTGTCAAGGGGCTAGAGTTGCAACTCAGCGGTAGAGTGCTTGCCTCAATTTCTATCACCTCAAATATATAAGCAAATTAAGGAAACGTCCATCAACAACTAAAAAATATTTAAAAAAATCTATCAGGAAAAATAGAATTAAAGGAGTAGCTAATGTTGGATGATGAAGGAATGTGAGCAGTGGTTCTTAATTGAGTATGTATCAGAATTAATCTGGAGAGCTTTCTTTTGTTTTAATATCTTTATTTTGTTTATTTATTTTTATGTGGTGCTGAGGATCGAACTCAGTGCCTCAGATGTGTGAGGCAAGCACTCTGCCACTGAGCCACAATCCCAGTCCTGAGCCACAATCCCAGCCCTGAGTATAGGCAGTGGGATGACTGTGGCTCTAAAAGGCAATAAGAGGAATCCTTGTAGTGATGGGATCGTTCTGTTTCTTACCTGTGTCAGTGTCAGTATCCTGATTGTGATTTTGTGTTATAGTTAAGATGTTGCCATTGGGGAAACTGGTGAAGGAGTACTTAGGTCTAAGATCTCTCTCACATCCTTACAGCTGCATGTGAACCCACAGTTACTCTAAGATAAAATGTTCAATTGGAGAGGACCCCACTGTGTAGAGATTAGGGAAGGTCTGTGAGTGGAGTTGAGGAAAATACCCTATATTCTGTGTGGGGTGTTTGAGAAGAAGAGTCAACATGAGAAGTAAAAATATGAGAAAATAGGCAAATTAAGAAGAGTCTATGGACTGGGGTTATGTCTCAGTGGTACAGTGCTTGCCTCACATGCGTGAGCCGCTGGGTTTGATCCTAAGCACCACATAGAAATAAATAAATAAATAAAATAAAGATATTGTGTCTATGTACAATTGAAAATATTTAAAAAGTACTGTTAGGGAAGGCAAAAGTCAGGTCTGTGAACAACGTCAGATGGTACAGAGAGATTGAATTGCAAGAAGACTGATGGTGGTATATGTGAGAATGAGGTCACTGGGGCCTGGTGAGGAGTTAAGGGCTTAAAGATGAACAGCAAACAAGGAGGCAGAAAAAGGGGGCTGGGGATGTGGCCCAAGCGGTAGTGCGCTCGCCTGGCGTGCGTGCGGCCCGGGTTCGATCCTCAGCACCACATACAAAGATGTTGTGTCCGCCAAAAACTGAAAAATAAATATTAAAAAAATTCTCTCTCTCTCTCTCCTCCCTCTCTCTTTAAAAAAAAAAAGGAGGCAGAAAAAGGACTGCTGACTGCAACTTCAGCTACATAAGCGTGGAACAAGTATAGGCAGGTGGCTTGAAGGAAAGGAAGTAGGGGAAGTGAGATACTTATAGATGAGTTGCATGTTTGAGGAATTAGAGGAAGGAAGGAGTTAGAAGTGAGGGGTACCAGGGGTGATGGCCAGTGGTGGAGTGGAGTCAGTTTCTTTCTTTCTTTTTTTTTTTTTAAATTTTTCTTTTGGAGCGGAAAGGACTTTTTATTTTTTATTTTTTGGCAGTGCTGAGGGTGGAAGCCAGGACCTTGTATATGCTAGGCAGGTACTCTGGGACTGAACTATATATCCTCAGCGTAGGACGCAGGGTTCTGTTTTTTTTTTTTTGTTCTTGTTAAATTTGTTCTTTTTTGTTATACATTATAAGAGAATGTATTTTGGCATAATATACATACATGGAGTATAACTTATTCTAATTAGGATCCTATTCTTGTTGTTATACATGATGTGGAGTTTCCCTGGACTTATATTCAAAACAAGACTAGGAGACTAGGAAGGTTATGTCTTATTAATTCAACTGTCCTTCCCATTCCCCTTCCTACTGCCTTCCCTTTGTTTTCCTTTGTCTAATCCAGTAGAATTATATTCTTCCCCTTCTTCCTACCCTCTGTTGTTCTTGGTTAGCATCCACATATTAGAACATTCAGCCTTTGGTGTTTTGGGAGTAGCCTATTTCACTCAGCAGGATTTTCTCCAGTTCCATCCATTTACCAACAAATGCCATAATTTCATTATTCTTCATGATTGAGTAATATTCCATTGTGTATGTATACCACATTTTCTTTTTCTTTTCATTTGTTGAAGGTCACCTAGGTTGGTTCCATAGCTTAGCTATTGTGAATTGAGTTGCTCTAAACATTGATGTGGCTGTGTCACTGTAGTATACTGATTTTACATCCTTTGAGTATAGACCAAAGAGTGGGATAACTACGTCAGTTGGTAGTTCCATTCCAAGTTTCTACTTGCTCCCCATATCCTTGCCCACATTTATTGTTACTTGTATTGTTTATAATTGCCATTCTCACTGGAGTGAGATGGAATCTCAGTGTAGTAATGTGCATTTCTTAATTTTGCTAGATATGTTGAACATTTTTTTCACATATTTTTTGACCATTCATATTTCTTCATTTTTGAAGTGCCTGTTTGTTGAAGGACACCCAGGTTGGTTCCATAGTTTAGCTATTGTGAATTGAGCTGCTCTAAACATTGATGTGGCTGCATCACTCTAGTATGCTGATTGTTTTTAAACATTATTTTAGATGTTGAGGGACATTTAATTTATTCATTTATTTATACATGGTGCTGAGAATCGAACCCAGTTCCTCACACATGCTGGGCAAGCACTCTATCACTGAGACACAACCCCAGCCTCTAGTATGCTGATTTTAAGTCCTTTGGGATAACATTAGGTAACATTAGATCATTAGTACCAATAACCACATTATTGTTTAGAGTGTCAGTAAGGTTGCTTATTCTGAAGTTACATTTCATAATTACAATATGTAAAGTTCAGGAATTTGTACATTTCTCAAGGAGGTCCATTGTCTGAAGTTACTGTTACGCTGGCAGCTCCAGGAGTGCCTGATCTTGGTGAAACGTAGTTACCAAGCAAACAAGTTCCTTTATTCCCAGGAGTTATGTGCCTAAGATTACGGTGGAAGCTGATAAGACTCTAGCATGGAGGGCATTACCATAGCAACGGGGCATCCTATGCCTTTGCACAGGAACTTTCCCAGGCACCAAGCATGTCACAGCCATGAAGTCCTCAGGGACACCAATCGCAAACACAGAACCCTTCCGATTTTTTATTCTAATTTTTCATATATGACAGCAGAATGCATTACAATTCCTATTACACATATGGAGTACAATTTTTAATATCTCTGGTTGTATAGAAAGTATATTCACACAGTTTGTGTCTTCATACTTGTACTCATGGTAATGATGTCCATCTCATTCACCATCTTTTTTACACCTCTTGCCCCCTTCCTTCTTCCATCCTCTTTGCCCTATCTAGAGTTCCTCTAATATTCCCATGGTCCCCCTCCCAACCCCACTATGAATAAGCCTCTTTATATCATAGAAAACATTTGACATTGTTTTTTGGGGATTGGCTAACATCACTTTGCATTATATTCTCCAACTCCTTCCATTTACCTGCAAATGTCATGATTTTATTCTCTTTTATTGCTGAGTAATATTCCATTTTGTATATATATACCACGTTTTCTTTATCCATTCATCTACTGAGGCATCCACGTTGGTTCTGCAGTCTAGCTATTATGTGCTGCAATAAACATTGATGTGGCTGTTGATAGACCCAACCTGATTTTCTCTCAAAATTGGGAGCCATCTCGCCACAAAGCCATGAAAAGATAATTTTGGCTTTACTATAAATTACTGCAAATTCTGAACCTGCTTGGAATGCCTGCCCGTGCCTTGAACTCACCCATGCCTGGCTCTCTGACCAGATAGCAGCCGTCTCTGAAACTTTAGTGACACCTCATAAATATTGGCCTTCCTTGGCCAGATAATGACCCTCTCTGAGGCTCTAATGATCCTCATAGATTCTGATGTTGGGGCCAGCAAAAACTGTAAACTACCATTTGTGTTATGCTCCTCAGAGTTCTGTTATCTGTAACCCCCCTTTGTGTAACTTTCTGGGCTATAAAGCTGAACTGCAGGAAAGCTGCGGCTGCTGTCTTTTTCCTGCGGTTTTGGGTGGGAGAGGCAGCCCGGCCGGTCGAAATAATAAGCTTGCTTTAATTTGATTTTAATTGGAGTCAGTGCTCTTTTCTTGCGTCCTGGTCTAACAGCTGTGTCCCTGTAGTATGCTGTTTTTAAGTCCTCTGGGTATAAACTGAGGAGTGGAATAGCTGGATCAAATGGTGGTTCCATTCCAAGTTTTCTAAGGAATCTCCATACTGTTTTCCATATTGGCTGCACCATTTTGCAGTCCTACCAGCAGTGTATGAGTGTGCCTTTTTCCCCCACATCCTTACCAACACTTATTATTGTTTGTATTTTTTTTTTAAAGAGAGAGAGAGAGAGAGAATTTTAATATTTATTTTTTCAGTTTTCAGCGGACACAACATCTTTGTTTGTATGTGGTGCTGAGGATCGAACCCGGGCCGCACGCATGCCAGGCGAGCGTGCTACCGCTTGAGCCACATCCCCAGCCCTGTTTGTATTCTTAATAGCTGCCATTCTGACTGGAGTAAGATGAAATCTTAGAGTAGTTTTGATTTGCATTTCTCTAATAGCTAGAGTGTTGAACATCTTTTTATATATTTGTTGATTGATTGTATATCCTCTTCTGAGAAGTGTCTGTTCAGGTCCTTGGCCCATTTATTGATTGGGTTATTTGTTATTTTGGTGTTTAGCTTTTTCAGTTCTTTATATACCCTAGAGATTAGTGCTCTGATGTGCAAGTGGTAAAAGTTTGCTCCCAAGCTGTAGGCTCTCTCTTCACCTCACTGATTTTTTCCTTTTGTTGAGAAGAAACTTTGTAGTTCCAATCCATCCCATTTATTAATTCTTTTTTTTTAATTTTGTTTTTAAAGACCTTTATTTCACTTTTTTTTATGTGGTGCTGAGGTTCGAACCCAGGGTCTCGCGCCTGTGAGGCGAGCGCTCTATCGCTGAGCCACAGCCCCAGTCCCATCCCATTTATTAATTCTTGTTTATACTTCTTGCGCTATAGGAGTGCTCTTAAGGAAATAGTGTCCTAATCCGATATGATTGAGATCTAGGCCTACTTTTTCTTTTGTTAGACGCAGGGTCTCTGGTTTAATTCCGAGGTCCTTGATCCACTTTGAGTTGAGTATTATGCATGGTGAGAAATAGGGATTTAATTTCATTTTGTTGCATATGGAGTTCCAGTTTTCCCAGCACCATTTTTGAAGAGGCTGTCTTTTCTCCAATGTATGTTTTTGGAGCCTTTGTCTAATATAAGATAACTGTAAATGGGGCTGGAGTTGTGGCGCAGTGGTAGAGCGCTAGCTTAGCACATGTAAGGCCCTGGGTTCGATCCTCAGCACCACATAAAAATAAATTAAAAAAAAAATAAAGGTACAATACCTTGGGTCTAACTATAACTAAAAATAAATATTTTTTTAATAAAAAAATAAGATAACTGTAATTATGTGGGTTAGTCTCTGTGTCCTCTATTCTGTTCCATTGATCTACCAGTCTATTTTGGTGCCAGTACCATGCTGTTTTTGTTAGTGTTGCTCTGTAGTATAATTTAAGGTCTGGTATAATGATGCCACCTGCTTCATTCTTCTTGCTAAGAATTGCTTTGGCTATTCTGGGTCTCTTATTTGTCCAGGTGAATTTCATGACTGCTTTTTCTATTTCTATGAGGAATGTCATTGGGATTTTGATTGGAATTGCATTAAATCTGTATAATACTTTTAGTTATATGGCCATTTTGACATATTAATTCTTCCTATCCAAGAACAAGGGAGATATTTCCATCCTGTAAGGTCTGCCTCAATTTCTTTCTTTAGCGTTCTGTAGTTTTCTTTGTAGAGGTCTTTCACCTCTTTTGTTAGGTTAATTTGCAAGTATTTTTTTTTGAAGCTATTATAAATGGCATAGTTTTCCTCGTTTCCCTTTTAGAGGATTTGTCCCTGACAAATTTATGCCTATGATTTTCTTTTTAAAATAATAGCCATCCTAATGATCATATGAGGTGTATTTCATTGTTTATCTGGAAATGTCATATTAATTTTTCTTTCTATTTTTTTTTAAAGAGAGAGAGAATGAATCTTTTTTTTAGATGGACACAACACAACACAATGCATTTATTTATTTATTTATTTTTATGTGGTGCTGAGAATCGAACCCGGGTTGCGCTCGTGCTAGGGGAGCGCTCTACCACTGAGCCACAATCCCAGCCCTCTTTCTTTCTTTCTTAAGAGAGAGAGAAAGAGAGAGAATTTTTAATATTTATTTTTTTTTTTAGTTTTCGGCGGACACAACATCTTTGTTTGTATGTTGTGCTTAGGATCGAACCCGGGCCACACACTTGCCAAGCGAGCGTGCTACCGCTTGAGCCGCATCCCCAGCCCCTCCCAGCCCTCTTTCTATTTTTTTTTTTTATGGTAGTGGGGATTGAACCAAGGGATGCTTTACCACTGACCCCTATCCCCAATTCTTTTAATTTTTTTTTTTTTAATCTTGAGACAGGTTTTTTTTAAGTTACTGAGGTCTTAGTAAGTATCTGAGGCTGGGATTACAGGTATGTGCCATGGTGCCCAACTCCCTCCATGCTTATGATACTAAATTTGAAGAACCCCTTATTTCTTTTCTTTCTGTGTCTGCTTGAATGTTTCCTGAGTTGGGGAACTCACTGGATAGACTTTTCATTCCTGTGTTCATCTCAAATCTTCGTCTCTATGCTTCTCTGCCCTGGTCCCAGTTTTATCATTCATTAGGCCTTTCTTCAGAGCTCTTCACTTGTCACCTTCTGCCTAGGGATCGAGGTGAGAGGTTGTTTGAGGGGAGTGGGCTTGAGCTGAGACTAATAAATGAGGAGAATATCTCAGTATCCACGTTCTAGGTAGTTATCTGCTCTCTGAGTGGCTCATCCTTCCTCAAATATCTCCAAGGTTCCTGTTAAGATAACCTGATAACCTGATTGAGGATAGCTTACTCAGGGCCCTGTTTTCCATGCTTGGGTGGAGAGGACCACATTACATATCCCCCAAATCACGATTTGTTGTTAGTACTAGTGTGACCGTCCATGTAATACCCATGTGATGTGAAATGAAGGTGGTTTTCCTGAGTCCAAGGCCTTCTCTTGTGTCCAGGATCTACATGTCCAGGACTGACCATTGTTCTCCAATTTCTCTACAGGAGCTGATTGACCTCAAGATGCTTCAGTGCAAGAGAGTTGTCAATGGTGAGTCCAGCCCTGGCCCAGAATTGTGTGTGTGCTCATTTGGCTTAGGTGACACTACCACTGGCCCTACCTGGGTTCCTGCCTGGCTGCATAATGTGTGTGGATCATGTGCTCCCTTGAGAGCAGTCATTGCTCTCCACCTAAAGCCTGATGTGAAGCAGGCTAAGAATGCCTTGGTGACATAGAAATGACCATGTTTCGTATACAGAAGGGACCCTAGGATCCTTGAAGTCACAATGGCTTCAGTGCTTGGCCTGGCCTGTGACTTGGGCAAGTCATAGGACTTCTTTCCACCACAATTTCTTACCATTCAAATGTAATTATGAGCCTTAGTTTACTTAAATTGTATAGTTAAAGTGAAGACGAAATAAGATAAGGAAACAGTAAGTAGTTTGTACACCTTAAGCCCTGTGAAAATGGAAGTGCTTGTGGTGAACTGTGGGTTTTCTTCTAGTTTATTGATGAGGCTGATTCTGCTTTAATTAGAGTTGTGGTAATCTTTGAGGTTTCTGATACATACATATGTACATATACACATGTATATATCAAATCTTGATATTTCACAAAAAGTCATGACTCAATTTCGTCAAATTCTCTTTTATTTACATTTTTGTATGTTATGAAAAAAATCAATATTATGAATCCATAAAACCTAGAAAATGAAAATCCTCCATAATCTCATACTTAAAGAGTTAATCAGGGTGGGTACAGTGGCACACCTCTGTAATCCCAGTGACTCATGAGGCTGAGGCAGGAGGCTACCCTCAGCAACTTAGCAAGACCTGTCTCAAAATTAAAAATAAAGAGGCTTAGGGATGTAGCTCATTGGAAAATTACCCCTAGTTTGAATCTCCAGTACCAAAAGAAAGGTTATTATAGGGTTTTGCATGTAGCTCAGTGGTAGGAACTTCCCCAGCGTTCATGAGATTCTGGGGTCATTCCCATGTACCACCACAACAACAAAAGAATTAAGCATAAAGAGGAATAATGTGGGTTTTCCTACGCGTATATTATGAAAAATGTGTAATATTTAAAAATGTGACCACTTTTTATCTGTGCCCCCTTCCCTTGGGATTGTGTGGCATATACTGTTTAGCCACTTTTTTACATTTTTGCCTATCAGATACATTAAAATTGGTTTCTCTAGTGCCTTTACTGGGGTTTCAGTATTTTGCTTTTATCAGTAAACTTCATTATAAGCACACCCTAGTTTTTGTGGTTCTCTCACCTTTCTTCCTGCCAGTGTTAAGCTTTCTCTGTGAGAGATTACTTCGATTACCTCTCCCAACATGTCTTTTTAGCCTTCTAAGCTGTTCAATGCTGGGATGATAATTCCAGATTCCATTTATGGAAATGCTTTACATGCTTTAAAGATCTTAGTTCTCAAAACAGCCTTCAAGATAGGTATATTCACCCATCTGCCACATTGTATATTTTTATTATATTAGTCATCTTTGAAAGTCAATGATGATAGAAGCTTTTGTTGAGCTTCTGGTGTGGCTCAGCAGTAGTGCATTTGTCTGGCATGTGTGAGGCACTGGGTTTGGTTCTCAGCACCACACACATAAATAAAATAAAGGTCAATCAACAACTAAGAAAAAAAAAGAAGAAGGATATATGAGATGTAGTTGATTTTTGTTAATGTTCGGTTAAATTGCTGAGAAACACTTAAAATCTATTCATGACTATTGAACCAGGTGACCCTAGGGGAAATACAGGATTAGGTTTTTGCTAGCCTCTGGTCATATTTTCATCATCTGATCATCACTTACACTTAGTTTATTTCATTTGTTTCTGTTCAAAGACATGCTGTTTATTTTTTTAGGAGCTAGGGTTCAAACCCAGAGCCTTGTGCATGTTAAGCATATGCTCTCGTGGAGCGGTACTGGCAGCTCCAACCAATATATCATTGATTCATTAACCTTGAACTCAAGAGCCAATAGCACTATATTGTCATAACCAAGGCTTATCGAATACAAGTGTTTTGACCTTTAGGTTCACCACAGCCTTCTTTTGCGTAAGATAATAGAACTTCAGCACTATGCTTGGATCCATTTTAAACAGTGAGATCACTAACAAAAAGCACCAAAATACACAAAATGAAGGGCTAAATATACCATAAAAAGGGCTCATTTTTACAGTATAAGAGCTAAAACAAGAAGACAAGTGGCACTGTGTTTGAACTCAGCTGGAGATGTGTATGTACATCAGGTGACTCCAATTTGTTGTCACTTACTGTCTGTCCCTGAATGACTGGAAACACTACATGTATTGATTTAGGGTTATAAATTAATTTTACTAAATAGATGAATTTGAAAATATGCAACTGCAAATAATAGTGAAGACTGACTGAAATAGAGTACTCCTCCACTTAATTACTCTAAGTAATTAAGAAATGATCACTTGCAGACCCTCAAAGTGCCATCTTCCAGGACAGTTCTAGTATTGAAACACCAATTAAATGTGTGTACATTTTTTTCCAGTATTTCAAAAAATTGTAAAGTGCTTGTAATCACGCAGAAAAAGTGCATAAAACCTAAATATGCAATTTAACAAATAATTATAAAGTGAACCAACCATTACCTGTGTCGTGAGATGGAGCATATCAGCACCTTAGATGCCTCCCAGTGCATACTTATTTTGTAGGAATCATCTGATCCCTTTTTTCTTTTCAAGGTTATACTTGGCTGTGTTCACTGCCAGGGCTTAGGCTAGTCTGAACTTGCATCCCATGTGTTTGTGTTTTCTTGCAGAGGTGCTCAAAACAGTGGATTTTGTAGCCCCTGATGACCGAGTCATCTTCCGCACCTGTGAAAGAGAACAGAGCAGAGTGGTCTTCCAGATGGTATGAGACCCTAATGTCAAGTGTCCTCCTGAGTATTCCTATCTCCTGTTTCATTGCTTGGGTCCTGTGCTGGCCACTATTGAGTGCCTGAGCTACTTTGCATAGCAGGGACTTCCTGAAGATTTGACCATTTTTCAAAGGGTCATTCCTGAGTACTTACAGTATTGGAGACAGATTATGGAAATCAAGCTGACACAGTCTGTTACATGCCTGCAAGTCTCAGATTTAATTTACTTAATTAAAGGTCTCTAGATTTATTTTTCTAATCTGTAACATTGAGTATTCATATCATACTGCTTATTTTTTATAGTCTGAATTTATTTCCTATCAAAGGAATTAGATTTCCTTAACAGTAAACTTTTGAATTTTTTGTTTGTATTTGTTTTTTTGATAGCAGGGATTGAGCTCAAGGGTACTCAACCCCTGAGCCACATCCCCAGCCCTTTTTATTTTTTATTTTGAGACAGGGTTTCACCAAGTTGCTTAAAGCTTTACTGAATTGCTGAGGCTGGCTTTAAACTTGCAATATTCCTGCCTCAACCTCCCCAGCCACTGTGATTATAGGTGTGTGTCTCGGTGTCTGGGTAGTTAAACTATAGCTCTCTTCTCTTGCACTAGACATTTCTTGGAGCTTTTTTAGAAATAGCTCCGAAAAGATGTTTAAGTTTTTATAAAGTTGATGACAGTGAGTGGGTATGTGATCAAGTAGATATAATTATGGAATCTAAGTTGTGGTATCTGAATGTTTTCTATAAAATTTTTTTCATGTTTTTGTATGTTGGAAAGTAACAACAGCATTAATGACATTGTTTAGGCCTTCCAAGTCCATCTTTTTTTTTTTTTTTTTTTTTTTTTAAACCAGTGAGCTAATATATTTGGCTGGCTTTTTGGGAGAAAACTGGCCCAAACTGCTTGTTGGCATGACAATGTGTGTTGTGTGTGTGTGTTTGTAAGAGCGAAATAGAGAGTGGAAAAGAAAGAGTGTGTGTGTGTGTGTGTGTGTGTGTGTGTGTGGTGGGGGAGATGGGTGTGTTTGTCACGCACATTTGCCTTTTTCAGGGCATTGGTTGATGAAGCCTTTTGTGTTCCTAGGGAACCTCAGATGCAGAGCGAGCACTTGCTGTGGCCAGGCTTGTGTAAGTTCCTCCCTCTTGAGCTCCCTTTGTCTTTACTGGAGTTAAGAGGTCTTACTGTCACTGGTGACTTTGGAAGTGACCCACACTTCTGCCTCCTGGCATGTTACTATTTTCAACTGAGGGTGATTTCCTTTCCTGTTTATGGCATCTGAAGGCTGTCCTGGGATTCAAATGTACCCACTGTTCCCAGACCGCAGAGACCCCCATGTGAAGGCCCAATTTTAATGTTTATTTATGGGATTCCCTTTTTGGGGGATACTTCTGATTGTGAGTCCTGAGGCTTTAACTCTCAGTGTAGGTGAGACTTATTGCTTCTGGAGTTAATAAAGGCAGCAGAGTATTCACGGTTTAAGAGTGGGTTTTAGAGTTAATGGTTTGCTACTGGCTAACTGTGTGACCTTAGGAAGTTACTTAACCTTGCTGATCATTTTGTTCCTTTCTATGTGAAAGGATACCAGTAGTAGTAACATCCTCTGGCATAGTGTAGGGCAAGTGAAATAAGGCATGTTATTTGGAGAATGTCACACATTGGGAGTGCTTAGTAAATGTTCCCTTCTGATATTGATGACAGTGATAGCAAGAAGAGACTCGGGAAGTAATTGCTTTTGATCACAGACTGTTAAAATCAGAGAATGAGGTCCAAGTTCTTTCTGCATTTGATAATTATTTGGAGTAAGCTACCTGTGTCACCCAGCAACTGAAGGCAGTCCTGTAACTTATGCCAGAGGAGTTGCTCTGGCAAAGGGCTCTTGTGCTTATGTCACATCTTTGCCTTGGCAAATAGCTTTCATTACCCCAGTGAGAAATGCTGCCTTGGAATTGAATTTAGCATGAGTGTAACTTGGTATTTGAATTATCTGACACAACTCCATTGTAACAAAGACCTCAATACCTAGCTCTTTTCAATGTGTAGATACGTTATGTCTTTCCTCTGGAACTCTGCTCAGATGAAGTCTGTCATTGAGGGTGGTGTGTTTCTTGAATCCAGACTCACAATGACAGGTTTATGAGCACAGACTCATCCATGCTTTTTACTCTAGTTTCTTCCCTCAGTTTGAATGTTGTTTTTTTTTTTAATATTTACTTTTTACTTGTAGGTGGACACACAATATCTTTATTTCATTTTCTTATATGTTGCTGAGGATCGAACCCAGTGCCTCATGTATGCTAGTTGAGCACTCTACCTCTGAGCCACAACTCCAGCCCTTTAATGTTTATTTCCTTTTTGCTATTCATGTTTTTCCAGAGAAAATGATGTAGCTGGTATTGACGTCAACATGGGCTGTCCAAAAGAATATTCCACCAAGGTAAATTGATTTCTTTATATTTCTCAGAAGTATCCTATGGAGATTAAAGGAAGCTAACAAGACATGATGGCTAGGTACAGTACCCAGTTCTGGACTAGATC